CCCCCTTCCGCAGCTTGGGCTTCTCTTTCTTTTCTTTCCTGTACATGCCATATCAAGACAAATGAGAAACTGTACGCTAGGAAGAAAGACCACAAGACATGATGGAAGCCTAAATCTACCATGAAAAAAGAACACATTGACCAAATAACTCGCCAATAGAAACAAACAAATTAATTTTCAATTGAAGTGAGCAGAAAATGAGAGAAGAGACAGGATGACATAAAATGAATGCTGAAATATGCAGAGCACTACAGCAAAACATTTACTTTACAAATTCTTCCAAATATGTTTGGCGGGACAAACAGCTATATCACTCATCTACCTGTCAAAAGATAACTGTGAAAAACATGCTTTTCCTGCAAGCATGTTTCTGTACAAACTCAAAGCGAAGTGTTCAATTTTGAGACAGACAATGCATGCGCAGGTCTGATCACTCTAAGAGAAACAAATATGAAAAGGGTTCCACCGCATTATGATCCAGTCTCAGAGGTGCATGAGAAACAATACCTGTTCAAGTTTTTCCTCATGGGCAATTATGAACTCATCTAATCTTTGTTGCAGCACTGTCAGACCTGGTCTACTTTGATGATATTCCGTAAGCCACTCTGTGATGCAAGTTTACAGTCAGGAACCTAAATAATTAAGCATCATTCATATATATAAAATCAACATTCAGAAATTAAACTAATATTGTGCATGGTGAAATCAGTCAGACAACTGAATAAAGAAAATTTTAGCTAATACCCTTGCCCCATTCATGACATGCAAATCCTTAATGTCATGTTCCAGGAGAGCCATGAAATAGAAGTGGATGCTTAAATGCTACACAATCAATACAGAATAAAAAGGGCTTACAGTTTTACTACCATACACTACTTCTACTAATGGACATCCAATGGTGTAAATTACAAAACAAAACTTCAGGGAGAATATTTGACCATTTAGTTTTATTTGATTAGTAGAGATTTTTACTAATTAATATGATTTATGAAATTGAAGGGCTAAAACATAGCACACGATATGATTCATACATACTTTTCATTCCTTTTGAGTAGTCCTCATCCCCAGAAGAAATACAACAAGCCTCATCCTGATTGGTCTCTCCCCTCTTTTCCAGCATATTCTCATCCTCCTTTGATGTGTCATGTTCCCTTTTCTTTTTCTTAGATTTCTCAGATTTACCTAAAGAATGAGAAGTACATACACCATGAGACAACACGCTAAGAAAGCAACATAATGTTTTCAATATAAATTCAGCATAACCAAACAAAGAAATTCTGTCATCTGTCTCATCTTCCAATAACATCTTCACTTTGCCCTTTGGATTTTTAATGTCATTCCTTAGCTCAATCAAGTTGTAAGGCAGAAAACAATAGCATGACAAACAAAGAGTATAGTATGAAAACTAAACGGATGTTCATTACTTTATTGCTTAATGTGGATTAGAGTGATCTCAAGTTCAAAAGAAAGAAACACAGCAAAATGAAAAAAAGAGAGAGAACAAAACGTGGCAGCACTTTGGTGTGCATATGCAACGAGAGTTTTAGACAAAAGGACATTGTTAACGAAATCGCACAACTCCCATTTTTCCAATTATAGCATTTATCAATTATGAGATTGAGTCAAAGCACCCAGGTATGCATTGATGTAATCCGTCTAGACAACACGGATAAAAAAAATGACACAATCTTAGTTACATTATGTCAAGAGATATAGCATGTCACTACATATTTCACCAAGCTAAAATCCTATTGACTTACCTTTTAGCTCATTAAAACCATCTTCAGACTCAGCGCCAAGCTGATCAAATTTCCCAACCACAGCATTATTTTGCTCCCCACTTCTTTTTTTCTTTTTTCTTAGTGTGTTCCTTTTCTTTTCTCCTTCTGCTTTAGTCTCATCATCTTCTGAAACAACAAAAACAAGTGAATGAGACAAAGATTAATTGAAAACTAGATAGGAAAAAAGCTTGCTATGTCTAAAACTTTTAAACCTTTACTGATCCAAATTGTATCACCACCATCAGCATTATTTCCCTTTTCCCTTTTCCTCTTCTTTTTCTTCTTCTCGGCAGACTTGTTCACTTTATTCCCTCCATCCTCTGTTTTTATCATTACATCTGAAAAAAACAAAAAAACAAAAAATGATCAGGCACTGCTACCAGCAATCAATTTTAGTATTTACAGTTTCAAATATAGCAGCAATTTGGCATAATCTATACATGAAAAGTGAGTTGATAACCATGGTCAAATCCAAGAATTCTTCATTAATGGCATACTACTTACCTGGACCTAAACTGATAGTTAGAAGCCTACCAATTTATATCTCTCAAGTGAAATAATTCAGTCCCTGTCTAGGAATGCCACGGTGCCAGCTGGCTGGTTTGCCGCAACAACCCTAAACAGTCCCTTAAGTAGAGTGATTATGTAATTATCTTATATGTCCCTTACTCAAACACTACACTTTGCGAAGTTTAATTCATTGTACAAAACCACTATAGTAAGAAAAGAAGCTGCAATGATATTCTTGGATCTAAAGGGATTCTTTTGTCCCTTAATCATTTGAAAAACCAGCAGCCATTTTTCATTCTGCAAGAAAAACCAGGTATTCCATACAAGTAATGTAACAGGAATATCAAAAGTTTAATTGACAACCAGATTATGGTGAAAAATAATCACTGGCTGTTTTACCCATTTAGCACAGTAGTTCTCCTTCAGTCAAAGCATGTAAATCCTTGGTTGAAGCATCGAATGGAAGAAAGGGACAGTGGAATATCTACTGATAAACCATGCTGAGCAAAGAACCTAACACATACTGCAAAACACTAAAAATTCTACTCATTACCTAGTTATGGACCTATACTTCTCCCATTGCTACAGTTTCTACCACTCTAGGAGAATCACCTCATTCACCACCAACAAAAGAAAAAAGGACACACGCATTGACTTCTTAACTCCCATATAAATTCTAAATCCTTGGATACAAAGAAAAAAAAGGAGCTTGCAGAAACTAGTCTGAACTTGGAAATCTCTATCCATTACAGCTCCATCTTTAACCAAAAATTCAATAATGACAACAAAGCTGAAGAACCGGAAAATTAACAAACGTTACAGATGTTTCTAAAACTACTTGAACTACCCATTTTGTGTGTGTTGTTACTATGCCAGAATTTCACAGCTGATTATTTAGTAGCAAAAAAACTTGTGAGAAGCAATAGCATTGCCTAATTCTCTTTCTGGAAACACCATCCTGTAGTCGTCCTCATTAAGAGGATACCTAAAAATCTGATATTTCTAATCTCCATTAAAGACTAGAGCAAATACTTGCTCTCTCAAAACCAATCGTTCATAATCAAAACTCATTCCTTCCTACATGCATCAATTAAACAAACAAAAAAAAATAACATAAAAGATTTTCCACAGCAAGACCCACGAGTTATAATCAAGTAAAAAATAAAAAAAGCAAGAACTTGAAAGATGGTAAGCTATTAAAAGCAGGGAAGTTTGATCCAAGAGATACCCTTTTCACTGAAATCGCTATCGTTAGCTTTCTTGTTCTTTTTCTTCTTCTGCGTCTTGTCTACTATTTCCTTCAAGCTCCCCATCTCTCTCTCCCGCTTTCTCTTAGAGCGTCGCTACTCGAAAAGAACGCGAAAACCAGGGTGCCCCCACTTTATTTACCTCCCTCCGTAATGGTGGAAACATAGCCCCTCATGTTTCAATTAATAGTAAATCTAGTCCCAATATATTATTTTAAAAAATATTAAATTGAACCGAACCAGAAAAATTAATTCAAACCAAATGGTTCAATTTGGTTTGTTATCTTGATTTTTTATTTATTTAAGAAATTAAATTAGTCCACGTGTCTTTTAATTAGGTTTTTCAGAGGTTTTAATGTAATAAGCCTAAGATTTTTTTTTTATTGAAAAACTGATTCAATTCATTGATTTAGTATTAAATAAACAAATTAGTCCATGAGGTTATTTTATTGGTTTTTATTTAGAGGTTTTGATGTAATGAGTTTGGATTTTTTTTCCTTTTTTGTTTTATTTTTAACAAAAAAATGGTATGGTTCGGTTTCTCAAATTTAAAATTGAAAAGGAATCTTTTTTTAAAAAAAAGAAATCTAATTGAATTTTTTGTTCAATATCATATAAAAAAACTTTTATTAATTTAATTACTGGAATATTTTGATCAACCCTACGAAGTCAAAGGTACTACAATAAAAAGGAATTTCGAACAAATCTTCGAACATTTAGAACCTAATTGAAACAATTTTATAAAATTCGTTTCCTTATTTGTCACATAGAAATGTCATAGCCACTTCCTAAAATATTATTCATAGTTAACCCTGTCTTCAAGAGCACAGCGAACAGCTTTCTTTCCCCTCGGTTTTTTCTATACAGAACCAGAAAATCAAAACGCTTTGCAGATTGTCAGAGTGAGTGAGAAAACCCCATAAGAATGGCAAGTTTGACTACTATAAGCAATGAAACCCAGTTGCTTATTCAAAGTATTTGTGCATCCGTGATAAAGGGTAGCTGGAACAATCTTTTGAGACCCAAATTTGGCTCTAACGATTACCATCTCATTACAACAACAGCAACAGTTGGTCAGGTACTTTTGCAACTCTCTTTATATGACCAAAGTCCTTGTCTTTCATGGGCTTTCTTTAAATGGATTGAATCTTCTGTTCCTAACTATAAACACTCATTACAATCTTCATGGACTATGCTTTATATTTTGACAAAGCATAAGCATTTCAAGACTGCCCATGCTTTTCTTGAAAATATTGCTTTCAAGGACTTCTTGTCAACTCAATCTGTTTTGAGTTCATTGGTGAAAATTCATGATGACCCAGATGTGAATTCTCATGTTTTGAGTTGGCTTGTGATAGTTTATGGGAATTCCAAGATGACCCACGAGGCTATTCAGGTTTTTGAGCACATGAGAGTGAATGGGTTTAGGCCCCATTTACATGCTTGTACTGTGCTATTGAATTCGTTGGCTAAGGACAGGTTGACGGATACAGTGTGGAAAATTTATAAGAAGATGGTTAAACTAGGGGTTGTATCTAATATTCATGTGTATAATGTGTTGCTTCATGCTTGTTGTAAGTCTGGGGATGTGGAGAAGGCAGAGAAGGTTTTGAGTGAAATGGAATTGAAGTGTGTTTTTCCGGATCTTTTCACGTACAATACGTTAATCTCGTTGTACTGTAAAAAGGGAATGCATTATGAAGCCTTATGTGCTCAAGATAGGATGGAAATGGCTGGAATTAGTCCTGACATTGTTACTTACAATGCACTTATTTATGGGTTTTGTAGAGAAGGTAGAATGAGAGAGGCTGTGCAGCTTTTTAGGGATATCAAGGATGTTACTCCTAACCATGTGACTTATACTAGTTTGATTGATGGCTATTGTAGAGTAAATGACCTTGATGAAGCTTTGAGATTGAAGGAGGTGATGTCGGAAAAGGGGCTGTATCCAAATATCATTACTTACAATTCAATTCTGCGCAAGTTGTGTGAGGGAGGCAGGTTAAGAGATGCAAATGTAATGTTGAATGAGATGAGTGAGAGGAAAATTGAACCAGATAATGTCACTTGTAACACGTTGATTAATGCCTACTGCAAGATAGGTGATATGCGATCTGCTTTAAAAGTGAAGGACAAGATGGTGGGGGCCGGGTTAAAGCTAGACCAGTTTACTTACAAGGCATTGATCCATGGATTCTGCAAGGCAAAAGAGATTGATAAGGGTAAAGAGCTCTTGTTTGGTATGATGGATGCAGGATTTTCTCCTAGTTATTGCACCTACTCATGGCTTGTAGATAGTTATTGCAAGCAACAAAATGAAGAGGCAGTCATCAAACTTCCAGATGAGTTGGTGAGAAGAGGTTTGTGTGTTGATGTATCAGTATACAGGGCGCTAATAAGGAGGTTTTGTAAAATAGAAAAGATTGATTGTGCTCAAAGAGTACTTGGTCTTATGAAAGATAAGGGTATATTTGGAGATAGTGTCGTATACTCAAGTTTGGCATACGGTTACTGGAAAGTTGGAAAATTCAATGTTACTTCAGATATTTTAGATGAAATGTACAAGAGAAGGCTGATGATCACTCTCAAAATTTATAGATCTTTTAATGCCTCTTATGCCAGTGACAGCAGCATCTTAAGTCTCTTCTGGAATCATGTGCTTGAGAGGCGCCTAATGTCAAAGAACATATTAAAAGACATGCAGTAGACGATAAATTTGGGCTCTTAATGGAATGTTGGAATTGACTGCAGTTACCAATTTGAACTTCAAATGCCTTGCACTGACTCCTTTGTCATTTCAGGC